CCAGCCGGGGGAGAATGATGCCGATGAGAGTGCTTTGGTGTTCCTCGACAAACATGATCGTCTCCGACCCCTCGTTTGATCACTATTCTATTTATCATTAATATTTTATGTTTCTTTTATTTAGTATTGTTGGGCTTGTGTTATTGGGCTTTTAAGATTTATTGTTAGGTCGTTAAGTGTCGAGCATATAAGGCTCTTTCTCTTTGTCATTGAAGGGATGATTGCTTATGAAATAATACAGCGTTTGAGAGTTTTCTCTGTTATCACAAATCCCATCGTACGCTTCCTACATCAATATGTATGCATACAACCAAGTCAATACTCCAAGTCTTCTACATTCAACAAATTTCTGAGTCAATATAGTGATCCATGTTGCAATATAATTGCAACATGGAACATGAAGCATGTGTTACTCAACCTCCAGCACACAAAATAATCACAAAGGGACAATGAAACATGTGAAGTGAAATTATTGATTAATACTAGTCCAAACACTACCAGTTACAAATAATCTAAATAGCAATGATTTGGAAAAATGCAAAGAATAAATGTATGCAGATGAGCAAAGTCATTCAAGAATCCAAGAATATGTAATAGTACTTACATAAATGCACCCCTTCACAGCAGCACGGCGGCAAAAGGCTTGAGGGAGTTCCCCTTGACCATAAATGGGGTATATTATAGCACCATTTGCATTTGGAAACCTATAAATGTTGAGCAAATCTTTTTAGTTAATACCCTTCTTAGCGTTAACTGTTTAGCTGATTACGACTCTTGAAATTATCACATCTGGTCATAAGCCTACTAATTTTCAGTTCTTCTGGTTGCAGAAACACTTACGATGGGAGTACACGTTATACTGATATCAACTATCAATAAATTCCATTTCCCCAGAAATGTTTTCCAGTGATTTTGGATAGTTAATGGCTCTTTCACAATACTAAATAGCTACTAGTGGAACATAAAGGTGAAAACTGACCTGCCAATGGACGAGTGGTAAAATGCCAATCCATTAATCCCACTTTTAGTGTCCACAACATCTCTACAAACTTCCATGTTTGTTTGATCATGATCAGCCATCACTATTGTGTACAAAATTATCCTGGCAGATAAAGATTATGCATTTTAGAAAGATTACAACCTAAAAGGCCAACCGGTGGAAATAACCACATGCAAATATAGGAACCCGCTTTCGATTGTGTGTGTGCATATCTAACAGATTAACGCTGATAGTAAATTGACGGATATGTTAAAAGAAAATTAATACTTAAACAATGTCATCCCTTTTTGCTAGTTTTTTCGAATGTAAATGAAGCACGGCAAGGGAAAAACAACAGCAAGTCTACATATAAATGCCCATAATCCATTGCAATACTTGCAAGCAGAACAAGTCAATGAATCAAACATTCCAAAAAAGTAAAAAAAACCCAATGGTTCATCATAACAAATCATACAAGAAACACACACAGCAGAAGATCAGCTAAGCAAAACAATTCAGACTGAAAATATATATATCATAAAAGAAATATGAATGCATGTGAAACTCCAACTAACAGAGAAGAATAGACAAAAGGAGATGAATAGATATGTACAATTTTAGCTTCTCCGACAGCCCCATTTTGGTCAAGAAATTGACAAAAGGACTCCGCAAATCCTCTTCAGAAATCTTATATCCCTCGCCATCGTTCCCAAAATGCTCTTGCACAAGCTTGAAGAACTTCATCAACTGATTTTTCTCAGGCAGGGACAAGGTGCGATTTTTAAAGATGGCGCTGCGGGAGTCTGGAACACTCTCCAATTTACCCTCAGCGTCGCTCAAGAAGCTGGCCTCCATGGCCTTGAACTCCATGTACTGGTTAATGCCCGTCCTGAGGATCAAATCAATCATGGAGTCGGAGCAGAGGAAAACCCGAGGACCCGCCAAGTCCAGGTTAAATCTTCTGGAAGCTTCGATGAGGTCGGAGGAGTAGGAGTTTATCTCCACACTGGAATACAGTGGTCGGGTCAAGAGAGGGATAGAAACACAATTACCATCGCCGGAGAAGATTTGAGGCAGGGGTTGGGCTTCTGACTGGGATTGGGTTTGCGATTCAGAGTGGGTTTTAAGGAAGGAGACGAGGTCGTCGAGGGGGAGGGAAGCCGAGTGGCTGCCGTAAAAAGGGTTGGGATCGAGGTGAAGAACCGATTTTCCGGCGGCGGACGCGGCGGAGGCGATTATGGACTGTGGAAGGCCGGTGCCGACCACGATTAGGTCGAAATTGGAGGGCTCGATGGGCAGGAACGACGTGGATTCTTCCATCGGCGGCGGACGGAGGAAAATGGAATCCTCGGGTGTTTTCTAATATACTTGTCGCAAAAACCCGCGTGCGTGGGTTTATCATATTTGCAGACCAGGTGTCTGTGCTAATGATCGAGTGCTCATTTTATTTTTTTTATTTTTTTTCCATCCTTTCTTTTTAAAAAAAAATAATAGTAATTATAAAATGTTGGAAGTTTGAACGGATTAATTTGCTATTTACGAAGTTCTTTTAAGCAGCTACTATTTTTTATTACATTAGTTGATTGACACTAATTGCATACGTTTTTCTTCCATCAAGATCCCCTTTTTTTTGGTCAAAAAATATAACCTTTGAACATATGAAGAACTTGGTCATAAGTAGATAGTTAAACAGAACGTGTTGCTCGTTATCGACTCATTAAAGTTCGAGTCCTCTTGTTGAGTTAACGAATTAAACTCAATTTGCTTGAGTTGAAAACAAAAAATTAAAGAATATATATATAGGAATCTACTTTTATGCTTTCAATTCTGAACTTTACATTGTTGCTTCTTGAGTTACACATAAAAAGACACAAGATACTGATATATAATGAGAAATAAAATATACAAATATAAACATTGTATATAGTACTCTATTTTAATTGTATATTAAAATTATTTATTCTATTTATATTTCCTATTTTATTTATTTTTAATAGTTTCGTGCATTTGCATGGACAATACTAGTTTGTGGTTAATTAGAGAGAGAATCAATTTAGCAAAGTGAACATAATTGTGAATGGCTCCCACGTAGCATAAACAGTTAAACACTCGTATATTATAAAAAAAAAAATGTGGAAATAAAGAACAGCATCGTACAAACCCGGCCCGGCTATGTTGGGTTACCCGACGATTTGTCTGGTTGTTGCCTCCTGTGTGAATCGTGACGTCATCCACCCATCCCTATTTAGCTTCTCCTTGCCCGTGCTGTGTCGAAAGAGATATCATCCTCCAATCTTCACAAAAACCTTCAGTTTCCATTTTGTACCATTTTTTTTTTTCCTGCAATTTTAAGCCCTCTGCTAATTTGTTGCTACAATCGGTACGAACAATCTCTCTCTCTCTCTCTCTCTCTCTCTCTCTCTCTCCCTCTCTCTCCCTCTCATGTTTTGATCTGTCTGATTTTATTTTATTTTTTCCCGATATTTTCATCGTACCTTGTTGGGATTCTGATTTCTAGCTGCATTGATATTTGGTTCATTGGTTAAAAATTTGATCTTGTTCCGTCTCTGTTGTTATATTGAAGGAAGTAATTTGGATTGTGGTCTAATTAAAGGCACTCCTTTTGTCTCTAGCTTTTAAATGTTTTCATATTTCAATTTTCAGGATAAATTTTGCTGATGAATCTTGAAACAGAGAGCCCTGCATTGTGTGGTGGGTGAAAATATAGAAAAGGAGAAAATGTTATCTTGATGTGAATGAAAAGTTGGAACCAGTTTCTGCCAATTGTTGACGATGCACTTCATGAAATATTCTTTTGGGTTTTGGTGTTATTTTTGATTATTTATTGTTTCTTAAAAATTACAGACACCAATAGTCATAACCGAGAGCAAAGCCGAAGAAGCTGAGCAAGAGAATTTATAAAATCACATGGAAAATGGAAGTTATGGTGGATATCGAGAGTGGCGAAGCAAGAAATGAATCTCACACGAAAACCGACTCGAATTCAGGCAGCAAATTAGGGAAGAAAACATTGAACAAGCTCGTCGGTGGGGTATTGGGATTCAAGGGACTTGCCGAAAGTGTTGGGCCCACAACAAATCCCGATGGCATTTGTCGGTATAAGGTGGATCACGACCCGATCCAAGTTCCTGCACCGAAAGTTGAGATAGAGAACAGAAAGGCCGAAAAATTTAAGAAAGCTCCAAAGCCCCCTCGCCCACCGGGGAACCCGTCTTTGAATGCTGCTGACATTCGGCTGATAAAAGAAATATCCAAGATTGCTACGAAAAAAAGGGAGAGATTCGAACGAATAAAAGCTTTTAAGAAGATGAAAGCGGCTCGATTGCCACTATCATCATCATCATTGTCATCTTCATTGTCTTTTTCGTCATCTTGCAGCACCATTTCGGCCATGGTCGTCACGATTTTGTTCTTTCTACCGCTAATCTTCCAAGGTATATATTTATGTTAAAAATTCCACACCTGCAAATCATTATTTACAATGGAAATTAGTACTCATATTTTATTCACAAGATGAAACGAGTAGTCTCGTGTGGATTTCGAACATTTGATTTGCTTAAAGTATTTTTGCGATTTGTCATCTGGAGAACCAAATTGCTGTGAGATTGTAAGATTGAAATTTGTTGGAACTTCAATAACTATTTTTGTTGATATTTGAATTTCATAACAAAGTATCAATAATGTTGTTGCTTTTGGTTTCGAACATGTAACTAACTGCATGTCGTGCAGGTCTTGGTGGCAGCACTAGTTCGAATGAGAGGCCAGCATGAGAGTCGAGAGGGACTTGACACCTGTTCGGTTTTGCAAGAAAACGGAACAAATTTCGGTTTTCGTCATGTGAATAACCTTGAATGCTCGACTCTGTGAATGGCAGGTCTGCACAATAGGCTATAGCTACATGAACTGAGTTGAGTTGGCAGGAGTATATTGGTAACGACTAAAACAAACATCCTAGTAAAGGGAAAGCGTTCAAGCAGCTCGAATTCAGCTTGAAGTTTTCTTTATTTGGTTTATCTCTTCATTTTTTGTGTTAAGAGGTTGAACCTTTAGGGCAATTGTTTCGCTCTGTAGTTCTGTGATGCAATTGTCCTATGTTTCAGTTTGTAATTTTAACGTGTGAATCATCACCAAGCAATGGTTAATTTAAATGAGTCTGGCTCGGCTCGGCTCGGCTCGGCTCGGCTCGGCTCGGCTCGGCTCGTTTGATAAAAGAGCCGAGCTCGAGCTCATTTAAAGCTCGTTTGGTGAACGAGCCGAGCTCGGCTCGGTTCGGCTCGATAAGGCTCAAAAGGAGAACTTTTATAAAATTTTCAATAGTTCAGACTCGTTAAAGCTCACAATCGGCTCGAAGTTCGAGCTCAATTTCAAGCTCGTTTATTTAACAAGTTGAGCTCGGCTCGGCTGGCTTACCGCCCTGGGTAAACATATGCTTAAAGACTATCAATTGCCCATTTCTTCTATAGTGTCTGGGATTTTAGCTGCTTTGTTGGAGTTTTATTGTGTACGAACATATTGATCATTAGTATTGGAAGTACCTTTTAAGTTTTAGTTTTAACCAATGCATATCCACGAGTGAGTTTAATTAATTATGCTAATTATTTAATAAAGTTTAAATTCAGTAACATGAAAATATTAGAATCTATATTAGACCTCTCAGAGAGAGATATGTCAGATTCTCCAAGAAATTCTAACCTCAGAGATCTTCTAGATACCTTGGACTCCCTTTGGGGATAGGTCAGTCTAAAAAAGAAGTATTTAATTTTGTGGTGGAAGCTGTGAGGAACAGAATATTGAGCTGGAAGAACAAGTTTTTGTCTACTGCTGGTAAGGAAGTGCTGATAAACTCTGTCCTTAATGCCTTACCCATTTTTGTTATGTGTTGTTTTAAACTGCCTGCCAGTATCTGTCATGAGGTATCTAGGATATTTGCTAATTTTCGGTGGAGCAAGGGGTCTGATTTTTGTGCTGGGATACACTGGAGGAAATGGAGTGTCTTGACTACTGCAAAGCAAAATGGAGGTCTGGGTTTCAAAGATATTGTTTTGTTCAATGATGCTCTGCTGGTTAAACAGCTTTGGAGGGTTATTACCAAACCCCAGCTTCTCATGAGTAGGATAATCAAGAGCAGATATTTTTCAAATTCTTCTTTATTTGATGCCCAGTTGAAAAGTAATGCTTCTTGGTTGTGGAGATCTTGGTGGAAAGTGAAGGACCTGCTGCATGAAGGCTTACAGATTGAGGTAAGAAATGGTGCATCACTAAGAATCCATGATCATAACTGGGTTCCGGGCTTGGGTTGTAGAGGGCCTAGAATCAAACAAGATTTCTGTGATCAGAATCTAAGGGTGCAAGATCTCATTGATGCAAATACTGGCCAGTGGAATGAGCACAAAGTCTATGAGGTGTTTGAGGAGGTGGACTGTAATGCTGTGCTCCAAATTCAGTCTCTTAACTTTAGCATTGAGGATAAGTGGAGATGGAGGTTTAATAAGTCAGGGTCATTCTCAATAGCATCATCTTATAAATTTCTGAGCCAACAAAAACTCCTTGATCTAGACATTGCAGAAGGAAGTTTGCATTCAAAGAGAAATAAAGAGGTGAGACTTAGAAGCTGGAGGATGAGAGTAAAAGGGAAGATTAAACATTTCATCTGGAAATGTTTCTCCGGGACTTTGCCAGTAAAGATGAATGTCAGAAGAAGAGGGCTTGAGATTGATGTGTTATGTCCAGGATGTGGGATGGAAGAGGAAACTATAGAACATGTTTTTTTTAAATGTGATAGAGCAAAGAAAGTGTGGAAGCTTGCTCCAATTAGTTGGGATGGCATTAATCATGAAGCTTGCTGCTTCTCTGACTGGTGGGGCTGGGTGTGTAGTGTAGATAAGAAGGAGATTTCCGAAGCGAGAATAGAGCTTTCAACTTACATTTTGTGGTGGCTTTGGAAGTCTAGAAATCTATGGTTGTTTGAGGGAGTTTGGAGGCCGGAATTGGGAACTATAAAGGGTGCTATGGAGGAGTGGCAAGAACATGTGCTGATGAGGGATAAGGGGAGCAGAAGATGCCACAGAGCCTGAACTAGGTCTGCTTTTGGGCAGTTCAGTGGGAAAGGGGCTGTGCTTATGTCTGTCCTTGCATTTGTCCAGAATTTGTTTTGTTTTTTTGCTTCGGTTGCTGTTGTTTGGCTGCTAAAAGTTTCAGGGTGTGTGTTCTGCTTTTAGTTGCTGGGTCTGTTTTGTTTTTAGGCTACAGATTTCTGTAGTGTCTCTCTGGCTTTGTGCCCTCGGCATTTCAGTTTTTTCTGTGTTCTGTATTTGGACGATGTACCATTTCGTTTTTTGTTCTATATGAGTTTGCCTATCGTTTCGTTAAAAAAAAAAAGTATATATAAAAATAAGCACTAAGTATATAATTTGGCATTACAATTTTTAATATTTTCCAAAGAAAATTGCAATGTATATTAACACAAGGGTGACATGGAATAGGTCAAAAATCATGTAGTATCATTTTAAAATCATTTAAAGATGGAATAGGTCAAAAATCATGTAGTATCATTCTAAAATCATTTAAAGTTGCTGACCAAAGTTATGTTTTTCTATACTTAATTACTTCATTTATAATTACAAAATTTGGATCTATCCACTCTCATTTTATAATTACCGATTATTATTTTATTGTTTTCTTTTTAAATTATGTAGTAATTAATTTTACTCTTTTATATTACTATTTTATTTAAAAAAAAATGATCTAAAAATGAAATACATCCAATTGCACACGTTTTTTCCCATTGGGACCGTGACTTAAATAGAGAGCTTGGGAGTCTGCTCATAGGAAAGCCTTACACCAGTTAGCGCCTACCGTCGTTTGTGTTCACCGCCCGCCGCCGCCGACTCCTCTCGCCGGTATTTCATCAACACCTTGTAATCTTAATTAATTGTAGTACTTGTCAACCGACCAGTTTCATGCGTGGCTGACTGTTGCTCATTTCTGATTCCGGTCACTATTTTGCTTTCTCGTACCTCATTGTTCCTACTCGATGGTTTTCACTGTCTCGTTCCCTTGTTTGTCTCCATTAATTGTTATTTCTCCTACATTTTTGGTCTTTGTTGCCTCGTTATTGTTCTTTTCCAATTTTCTTTTGATATTTCTTTTGTCATTTCCATGATTTGTGAATAGTTTCCGGTATCTGTTGTTACTGATGAGTGTTAATTGGGAATGGCGTGAATTATTAATGAATCGTTGCTATTTAGTAGTTACTGAACTTACTACGATTTTGTAAGATATCTGGGTAAGAACTTCATAAGGGATGGCTCAGTTACAAGCGATCTCTTCGTGTTCGTCTACCAATCTTCTTTTCCGTGGCTCTAAAAGAGGTAATATGATGAGTCTATATAGCTGCAGTGTATAGAAATCAGTTTTCTTTCTTCAAGCGATATTCAGTGCGTCGGAACTTTTCGAATGTAGATTCAGCTGGTATTGGCCACAAATTTCTGTGCCCCAGAAAAGTAGCTCCACAACAAGAGGTATTTGATTGGATGCCTATGCTGCTTGCCCCCTTTGTAAGCTTGATGCTTGATGGGTGCTATTTTATCTTGTTTAATGAATTCAGCTAGGGGTGAAGGCCAGTGAATTTCATGGCCCAGCTGTCGTCCAAAAAGCAGCCAACTTTGGCTTCAACCATGGCAATCATGGTATATGTTTGCTGCTCATTCACATTTCATGTTTTGGTTTTTAGCTCATGAAAGTTCATCTCTAGTTAGCTCATGAAAGTTCATTTCTAGAAAATTCAGTTCCTCTCCAGCAGTTTTTGTGGCATGTCTATGGAGTCTTCTTGTGTATGTGTGTGTGCCCATACATGATTGTAGTTCTTATTAGCTAGCGGCAACTGTTAATATTTGAGTGCTAGAGATTCTTTTGATTGAATATATGTAAAATAAACTTTGATAGACATTGCATATATGCAATGCTAAGATTTTGATCTCCGATTTTTTTTTTTTCATGCAGCTATTCGAGCAGTTTTAGCTAGTGATAAGGAGGCATCAACTTCCAGTGGTGTGGATGAAAAAGTTTTGCGTAAAAAGTTGGACAAAGTGGTCCTTGCCTACAGTGGTGGTTTAGATACTTCTGTAATTGTTCCTTGGCTCAGGTATGCTAGCTAATTTTACTATTGATTTTTTGATATGTAGTTTTTCTTTTTAACTCTCTCCATTGTATACAGATTTTACTTGCTGATATTTTTAGCTATCTATCTTCAAAGTGCTATAGTGCCTTCTTTCTTCTATTGGATATGTTTCCTGAAAGTAGATAAGCTTTTGATGTGCAATGCAGGGAGAACTATGGTTGCGAGGTTGTTTGCTTCACTGCCGATGTTGGTCAAGTACGTGCTAAACAAATCTATGAAATTGCATACAATCATAATAAGTAGATATTTTGCATTTTGCTGTTAAATTAGTGTAAATTTTATGCTCGGATGTAAGTAACTGAGTTGGCATTGAAAATATATTTGGAAGAAACAAAGGCAGGGGGAAGTATTGGTTTATATCTTAAAAATAATGCATTGTGTTTGATAAAATCCTACAAACGCTAGGGCTTGCAAGAATTGGAAGGTTTGGAACAAAAGGCCAAGGCTAGTGGGGCATGCCAACTAGTTGTAAAGGATTTGAAAGAGGAATTTGTGAAAGATTTTATCTTTCCTTGCTTACGAGCTGGTGCCATCTATGAGAGAAAGTACTTGCTCGGGACTTCAATGGCTCGTCCAGTTATTGCAAAGGTACGTGTTCAAGATTAGATGAGGGAATACTTGGATTACTCTGTGTGTGTGTGTGTGTGTGTGTGTGTGTTTAATTTGAGTAAATGTGTATTGCATTCAAACGTGCAGGCTATGGTTGATGTTGCAAAAGAGGTTGGAGCTGATGCAGTTTCACATGGTTGCACGGGGAAAGGAAATGATCAAGTATGCTCCCTGATTCTCTATTAAGCTTTTCCTTACTTTTAACATATTTTGCGTAACAGTCACGAGGCTGATTCTCGATTGCAGGTTCGGTTTGAGCTCACATTCTTTGCTCTGAATCCAGATCTCAGCGTGGTTGCTCCTTGGAGGGAATGGGAAATAACTGGAAGAGAAGATGCCATTGAGTATGCTAAAAAGCATAATGTGCCTGTTCCTGTGACCAAGAAATCCATTTATAGCCGTGATAGGAATCTGTGGCATCTCAGTCATGAGGTACTCTCGTGACCTTTTTTATTCTTGTACCTTTTCATTTAATTTCTTAATTTTTATTTATTTATTATTTTTTTGGGTTCTAAATTCTCTCTGTTATGAGTAGATCTCTGTTATTACTGGTAATTTGTTTATGTTTGGAAATTCTTGTATCATATCTAGAAAAGCTTTTGAGTTCTGTACTTCATCTTCTACATCATTGTGGAGAGATATATTTATAGACTTACAACAAAAATTCACCTAATGTACACGTAGGGATTTGGGCCAACTGAAGAGTCAATTTTTTTTTTTCTGTACATAGTTACCCCCCTCCCATCAAAGTTCTTATCTGTATACTCGTTAATAACCTTTTGTTGCTATGCGGGACCAAAGGGTGATATTTTGGAGGACCCAGCAAACGAGCCAAAGGAGGACATGTACATGATGAGCGTGGACCCAAAAGAAGCACCCGACCAACCCGAGTAAGTTGCTTCTTATTTAGTATATACGCCCACACACTTTGAATTAAATCTCTTTATACATTATGCCCCAATTATTTTGATGCAGGTACCTAAAAATCGGCATAGTTGAAGGCATTCCTGTCTCGGTCAACGGTAAAGAACTTTCTCCTGCAACCCTCCTCTCAGAGCTCAACGAAATAGGTGGGAAGCACGGTATAGGGCGAATTGATATGGTGGAAAATCGGCTCGTGGGCGTGAAGAGTCGTGGGGTCTATGAGACCCCCGGTGGGACCATTCTCTTTGCTGCAGCCCGTGAGCTCGAGTCCCTCACGCTCGACCGTGAGACAATGCAGGTAAAAGACTCTCTTGCCCTTAAGTATGCTGAGCTGGTTTATGCGGGTCGATGGTTCGACCCGCTCCGCGAGTCCATGGATGCTTTTATGAAGGAAATCACAAAGACCACGACTGGGTCAGTGACCCTTAAACTTTATAAGGGGTCGGTTAGTGTTGCGGGCCGAGAAAGCCCGTATAGTCTTTATAGGGAGGATATTTCGTCATTTGAGACGGGGGAGATTTACAATCAGGCTGATGCGGCTGGTTTTATCCGCCTTTATGGGCTGCCGATGAGAGTTCGGGCTATGCTCGAGAAAGGGATCTGATGGCGTTTATTAGGGCCCGCATGGGGATTCAGTGGGCTGGACTGCATTGTTTGTCCAATTTGATACTTGATGTTTACCGGTGCAAATTGTTGTGGTATCATGTGAGATGGTATCTTGAGTTTAATTGATGTTGTTCTTACAATTTCTAGCTCTACTGATTCTTATATGTGGGTTAAAATGCGTATATATGCTGCCCCTTGAAGCCTTTTCAAAATTAAGAAATAAATATATGCAAAGACTATCAATTTATGTAAACTCTTAAAGTCCTCTACAAGCTCCTAATTGGTTGAAAATTAATACACCACTAATTAAGTGAGCAAAATAAATTCTCTACCTAATTTTACCTAACTATGAGGGCTTAGTACAACCTAGCCTCTACATCCCTATCATTTGCATTTTTTTTTTTTGTTGCCAAACAGTAAAAATTGTACCATGCATTGAACTGCCACATTATACATAAATCCAGTCGCAAAATGGACATTGTTGTACATAGTTTTCCACCTTTTATAGAGACAACAAATTAATAAATATATTTTCCTTGCAAGAAGTATTGCTTCTGCTGCATGTCTGTAAAAAACTATGACCTTGCTTTGGTTAGCTTTTGATAGAGGAAGTCGATCTCCACCTGCATAATAGTTGAAAAAAACAAGGACATTACATCTTATCACGGGCCTGAAGCCTAACCAACAATTACTCGAATCATAAAACAATCACAGTCGGTTTGTATTAGGATCGATTACCTTATATTGCTTAAGCAATCTGTCTCTTCTCTTTTTCAGTGTTGCTGTCACCAGTTCTTTCTCAGACAACTCGAAGAGCTGAGGCTCAACTATTACACCTTTGATGTGCTCAAATCCCCTCAGCTAGTTTTTGAAAAATAAATAAATAATAACAATAATAAAAAAGGAACTCGGAGAATGACCATGAGAGCAATTTCACGCTAAGGTTTTATTTCACTGTTTGAAAATGTTTACATCTTGAAAACAATGCTAGAAAATATTTATAACTATTATTTTATATGCGATTTTAATATTTTGACATACCTTATTTCTCTCAGCTGTGGACTTTAGCTCGAGGATAATATGATCTTTGAACTGGTCAAGGGAACACAAATCCAAAAACGACCCTTTGAGGCCGTTTTGCTTTGCCCATTTTAAGGTGTTTTCCTCATTTGGTACCACAACTGAGACGAGCATGGACTTGAAACTGTCTCCATAAACCCATATCTAGAGGAAAATCCCATTAGAGAGTTGGCGATTAAGGGAAAATAATAGCACATACAAAAATTCACAGCTTTTGAGTACTGCATAATGAAACTACAGTTTAATGCTTACATCTTCTATAACTGGTGTAATAGTGTAAACTTTTTCCAGATACTCAACGGCAACATACTCTCCCTGTGATAGCTTAATAAGATTCTTTTTTCGATCAATGATTTTTACAACTCCATTGGGCAGCATCTCTCCTATATCACCTGAGTACAAGAACAGACTGATGTTAGTGTTAAATTGCAATTGACCCCTTGATATTCGTTTCTATTATATGAATTTGTTATAACTTATAACTAGGTTTGAACTTGGGAGTAATTTTCATTTTCATTTTAGAATTAACTTGTACTAGAGAAGATGAAGATGACCTGTATGAAACCATCCATCCTTGACAACTTCCTGTGTCAATTCCGGGTTCTTGTAGTATCCCGCAAATGGGGTTTTTGCCCGAAGGCATATCTCACCACGTGGGGGGTTCCCCAGAGGATCGTACCCCATGTCCTCAACCTCCTTTAGGCAAACCTCGGAATAAACAAAAGGGGAACCTACTGTCCCGATCATGCACATCTCGTCTGGAAAGCCAATAGTCGACAATCCACAACTCTCGGTCAACCCTGCACGAATTGCTTCGTGTGAGGATGAGATGATATATACATCAAAATAATGAAGTTCCATTTTTTTTTCTCATGTAAAAAACAAACAGTCAGTTTAGTGAGTTTACCGTATCCTTGTACTACAAAAGCACAGGAAGTAACCCTTAGGAACTCCTCGACTTCACTACTTAATGCTGCGCCACCAGAGACAATAAGACGAAGCCTGCCACCTAATCTGCTCTTGATCTACATAAAAGGCATACTCAAAATGTTAGCAACCACTATCTCATACTTTCTAGCCACAAAAAAAAAAAAAAAA